AGGTATTTGAAATGAACAAATCATTGATCTTGCTGAATTCTATCATGTGATTTCCAGAATCATTTCTATCACCAAGGCCATATTTTCCAACTACTGATCATTCCTTTTTGCTCCCAACCTTTGCATTCCAATCACCAGTAATGACCAATACATCATGATTGCATGTTTGATTAATTTCAGATTATAAAGAAGTTGGTAAATTCTATTTCATCCTCACTGGCTTTAGTGGTGGGTGTGTAAATTTGAATGCTTGTTTATTGTTAAGTGCCTTAGAGTCGATTCTGACCAATAGCGATCCTGTATAGGCTTTGCAATAGTGGGTCAGAAGTAAGAGGAAACCCGCAAATATATGGATAGGCACAGTAGCTGCAACAATGGGCTTAAACAGCAATTGTGAGGATGGCACTCGAATGGGGAGTGTTTTGTTGTTTTGTAGTTGTGGTGTTGCTTCAAATTGGAACTAGCTTGACAGAACCTAAGAACAAATTCTCAGTTGACCCTAACCCTCAAATGTGGTGACTTTCCTCTTGTTGAAGTCCTTAAAGTTAGTAATAAACTCTTGTCTGCTCATGCACGGACTGTAAAAACTTAAGGCACAGCTTGGAGCCCAACTTTCTGGCCCTTTTCCTAGGACTCTGATGTGAGAACTGGATGATGGTTCCTTCTACAACATGCCAGTTACCTTCTGCAAAGTTTAGCTCATGAAAAATGTGTTTCATAATGTGTACAGGTAAATAAAACAAATTGATTATGCCTGTTGCCAAAAGGAAAAGATACCCTGACCTTCAAAGTTTCAGGAAACTACATACCATATCTGTTTGTGTGGATGTTCTATAACCCCATCATGCTTAATTAAACTAAAACAACAAAGTAAGTGCATGTTGGCTGAGGAATTGCTGACAGAACACCCTAAGCAGCAGCAACTGGGGCATGTTTCTAGTTGGGGTTCTGCTCAATGTTTCCCAGGGCTGCCTATCTTCTCTTGTGACACACAGCATGTCATTGCTGGAGTCCCATTGTGCCTGAATAGCACACACAGTTAAGTGGTCTGGATGGCTTGATGAAAGGGTCAGAAGACTGGCCTGGGCATCTGCACCAGAAAGGCCAGAGCCTTGAAAATCCTGAGGAGCATTTCTGGCATGGGGTTGCCAAGAGTCCCAATCCACTCTATGGCAACTCACTCTTCTTGCTACATTGGTCATTGATATTACATACAGAAGAATTTCTTTCCTATCAATAGATCATATTCCATTTTTTATAAACTATACTTTCTATTGGAGTTTATAGGATCAGCACTAGACTGCGAACCACAAGGTCAGCAGTTCAAACCCACCAGTAGCTCCTCGGAAACCTTGTACAGGGTCAAAATCAATGGTTAAACTGGGAAATTCACTTCACTTACCCATAGTTTTCAGCTGCCAAATGTTTAGAGATTGAATAATTAGTGTATTTGCACATCCTAAAAATATGGTATTACATTTTTAAATTATTACATATCAGAATGGTTTTAGATATAAGGTTAATCATTTAACTTTTTTTTTGTTTATTGTGAATTATGTGAGAGTTTACATAGGAGAACATTAGCTTTACATTCATCCTCCTATATAGTTTCATTGCTATGGTTACAATCCACTCCGTGCATCATCAACCAACCAAAGGGTATAAGCTGCAAGCCTGTTCCCCAAGGTCAGCACAAAGCCCCTCTCCAGCTCTGGGTCTGGAGTCCCAGCCACTCCATCTCTGGAGTCACTGCTTCTCTGGGTAGGGTCTTGCACTCCGCTCTTCTACCTTGATGGTTTCAGGGACCTCTGCTCCTAGACGGCAAAGATAATCACCCCCTCCCTTTTGCTATAAAACATTCACCTTTACATTTCCACATTTGTTTATATTTTCTGAAAGATTTTTATCTTTTATTAAAAAACTGCTTATTGTGAATTGAATGACGGTTTAAAGAGCAGAAAATCAGTTTTACATATAAGAAATCATGCTTCATTTCATATTTTAGTCTTTAAATCCTTTATTGTGTATTTTGTGAAGGTTTAAAGGACAGGTTTACATTCAGAAAATCATCATTTGCTTCACTATAAAATTTGCAGTTCCCGCCATGTACCATTGTCGTCATTGTCAAGTGCTGTGGAGTCGATTCTGACCCGTAGCGGCTTGAAACCCCGACCTTTCAGTTCAAACGGCTGTGCAGTCTGGTGCATTAACCCGCAGCGCCACACCAGGACTCCTAATAATTAACAGCAATTAGCATGATTTCCTTTTACTCGTTCCCTGTGTCTCTCACTACCTTCAGCTTTGCTCTGCCAATGTTCCCGTCACCCACGTTAACATGTGTCACGTGTCTACCCTCTTGACACGTGAATACTTTTCCCTTCCATCCCACCCCTGATAACAATCATATAATTTGTTTTTTTATCCAGAAACTTTCTATTAACTTTTAATGCAATGGTCTCATTTTATATTTGTCCATTTGTGGTTGACTAAGTGCCATGAGCAAATGCGTCAGACTGCAAAGTATTTTGAACTGCAAGGTTGGTGGTTCAATCTTACCAGCAGTTCCTTGGAAATCTTATACAGGGTCACTATGGGTCGGAACCTACTCGATGGCACATAACAATAGGAACAATCTCACTCAACATAATATCCTCAAGGTTCTGAAACCTCTTGACCAATAAATTTCTATTATCAAACTTATGTGGGTAAAAACACCCAAACGCTGATATTTAAAATATACTCCAAACATGTCCGTTGACTGTTGATCTACAATTGCATAAAACCAAACCTGACTGCAGCAGGTGATTTGGAACCAGGAGTTACTGAGATACATCATTCCCGGCTGTGTCTTCCTCCAGCGGCCATGACATGTCCACATCAAGCTGTCCCATTTGCCTATCACGGAGGTGACAACCACTGGAGCTTCCTACAACCCTCCGTTCAAGGTCCACCAAGAATGCACCATGGAGTCACAGCACTGGGACAGGGCAGGAAGGGGGCGTGTCCAGGAGCCCAGCTCATCACCCTAGGCCCTGCTCTGGGCGGCACAGGAGGTCGAGGAGCTGGTGTAGGAGCTGAGGAGAAAGTTGCCCCTTATGGTACCCCCACGTCTCCATAACGCTCACGCTGGCTACTATGAAAAAAATGTTTTAACATATCTTTTTTTATAAAAACATGTTTGTCGTTATATTCCTGTGTGCATCTAATGCAATTGGCTCTGCCCACCATGCCCTGTATCCACAGACTTAAAAAAAATTTTTTAAAATTCAAAATCACTATCATTTGGTGAAAACACGTGGTTTCAACCAAAAAGTCAAAGCAGACAATAACGTCTTGAAAGTGTTAAAAGAGAGATAATTTGTTGATAATAACTTCACATTCCCTCTCGCCACAAAATGATTCTTTTACAAACAGCAGCACTTCTCCAAAGCTGAAGTGTGCGGTTTGCACATTCCTGTCCATTCTCGAGACACACACAGATTCGAACCTGTGTCTTCTGATAGAGGAAGAAGCGCAATTTACAGCTCAAGGCCTGGGAACATATTCAGAGGAAACATAAGGCTACACATCTGAGTGTGTCTTTTTGTACAACTGAATGCTCGAAATAACGCCTAGCACATGTGAGCCTTGTCTCCTGAGTGTGTCCTCTGGTGGGACAGGAGGTCTGGTTTCTGAGCTCAGGCTTGGCCACATTCACTGCAAACATATGGCATCTCCCCTGAGTGTCTTCTCTCATTACTGAGGGCCCACTTGCCAACAAGGCATCGCCCAAACTCCTTGCACACACAGGTATTGTCTCCTGGATGTGGCTTCTGGTGGTAAAGTAAGCTTGACATCTGAGGAAACCCTTGAGCACACTCATGTAAACAAGCAGCTTCTGCCCTATGTGTACTTTCATGGTGTAGTAATTCTAATATCCAGTAAAAGCCAATCCTACACTCCTTGCACACGTGAAGCTTTTCCCGATTGCCTCTTCAGGTGTTACTGAGGCAGACTTCACGACATAGCCTCCCCGCAACTCCTAGCACACATGAAATTACCCCCTTAGTGTGTCTGCAGGTGGGAAAACAAGCTGGACTTCTTCATAAAGCCTTGCCCACACTCCTTGCACACATGTGGCTTCTCACCTGCGTGTCTCCACTGATGTGTATGTAGGTCTGACTTCCACTTAAAGCACACGCCACACTCATGACATACAAATGGTTTCTCCCCTGTGTGTGTCCTCTGGTGCGTCAGAAGGTTTGACTTCCGGTCAAAGGCTCGGCCACACTCATCACATGCAAGAGGTTTCAACCCTGAATGCCTCATCTGGTGAATATTAAGAGCAGATTTCACAACAAAGCCTTGCCCACACTCCTGGCACACGTGAGGTTTCTTCCGTGAGTGTGTCGTCTGGTGGTAACGGAGGCTTGACTTATGGGCAAAGCCTCGGCCACACTCACTGCAAACATATGGCTTCTCTCCTGAGTGTTTCCTCTGGTGTGCGAGAAGAGCCCCTTTGTGCAAGTATGCTTGGCCACACTCCTCACACACATGTGGTTTCTCCCCTGAGTGTATCCTCTGGTGCGAGAGAAGGCTCCATTTCCGGTCAAAGGCTCTGCCACACTCCTGGCACACATGAGGTTTCAACCCTGAGTGTGTCCTCTGGTGAACATTGAGGGCAGACTTTACACTAAAGCTTCGTCCACATTCCTGGCATACATGAGGTCTCTCCCTTGAGTGTGTCCTCTCGTGGTAACGGAGGCCTGAGTTATGGGCAAAGCCTCGGCCACACTCACTGCAAACATAAGGTTTCTCCCCTGAGTGTTTCCTCTCATGGGAACGGAGGCCTGATCTATGGGCAAAGGCTTGGCCACACTCACTGCAAAGATATGGCTTCTCTCCTGAGTGTTTCCACTGGTGTGAGAGAAGATTCGATTTCCAGAAGTACGCCTGACCACACTCCTCACACACATGTGGTTTCTCCCCTGAGTGTATCCTCTGGTGTGAGACAAGGCTCCCTCTCTGGTCAAAGGCGCGGCCACACTCTTCACAAACATGAGGTTTCAACCCTGAGTGTGTCCTCTGGTGACTATTGAGAGCAGACTTCACAAGAAAGCTACGCCCACATTCCTCGCACACGTGAGGTTTCTCCCCTGAGTGTGTCCTCTCGTGATACTGGAGGCTTGACTTATTGGCAAAGCCTCGGCCACAATCACTGCAAACATATGGCTTCTCTCCTGAGTGTTTCCTCTGGTGGGCAAGAAGAGTCCATTTCCGGTCAAAGGCTCGGCCACACTCCTGGCATATGTGAGGTTTTATCCCTGAGTGTGTCCTCTTGTGACTATTTAGAGCAGACTTCACATGAAAGCTTTGTCCACATTCCTCGCACACATGAGGTTTCTCCCCTGAGTGTGTCCTTTGGTGGTAAAGGAGGCTTGAGTTATGGGCAAAGCTTCGGCCACACTCATCGCAAACATATGGTTTTTCCCCTGTGTGTGTTCTCTCATGAGAACGAAGGACTGAACTATGAGTAAAGCCTCGGCCACACTCACGGCAAACATATGGCTTCTCCCCTGAGTGTGTCCTCTGGTGCATGAGAAGGTTCACTTTCCGGTAGAAGGCTCGGCCACACTCACGGCAATCATACAGTTCCTCCCCTGAGTGTGTCCTCTGATGGTGGCTGAAGGATGACTGGAATTTAAAGCTACGCCCACACTCCTTGCACACGTATGCCTTCTCGTCGGAGTGTTTCCTTTGGTGCTGTTGCAAGTCTGATTGCCGGTGAAAAGTTCGGCCACAGTCACTGCAAACATAGGGATGCCCCCAGAAGACCGACCTCTGGTTTGTGATGAAGTCTGCCTTCAGACCACAGTCGGCTCCATCCTCTCTGTAGCTGTCTGCTCCAAATCTTAACATTTTTAATTCCTTCATCACTTTACCTATTTCCACAGAATTCGCCCTACATGTGGAGTTGGGCTTTCTTCCTGTACCTGTGTGGCCTTTTCTGCACCTGGCTGAAAACAAACACACAACACCACCATTGTTATTGAACCTGGTGTGACTCATATAGGACAGAGCAGAACTGTCACAGACGGAGTCCAAGGCCACATCAATATGCTGCAGACCAGCTGCTGGGTGTGAACTGCTGACCTTATGGTTACCGGTTGGTTGAGTGCTTAACCCATATACTCCATAGCTCCTTTGGTATATATTAGGTAGCTAATAAATAGCTATTGAATTAATAAAGGAAGAGAAGACAGCACATCCTCACCCAAAGACAGCAGATTCCTGTAAGTGTCCAGCATCACTTCTCTGTAGAGCTTCTTCTGCTCAGCGCTCAGTCTCTTCCATTCAGCCTTTGTGAACACCACGTTGACATCCTCGAAAGTCACTGGCTCCTAGAGGAAGCGATAAGTCAGTGCACAGCAAGTCCCCATCATTTTCGCAATGTGAGAAGTTTCACTGGTGGCCCTGAAGAGCCTGAATCTAAAGAAGTTCATCCCATTCTTTCAGTGAACATAGTTCTCCATAGAAAGTTCTGCTGGACATAGCTGGTAGCAACATGATGGGAAACCCTGTGGGGAGCACCAATGCTGCAGAAAACACATCCTGGCCCTTGAACACATGTGACCACACTGAACAAATGACTTGTGAATCAATCTGAGCAGAAAAGAGAGTCAAGAACATGGCATCGAGGATTCATAAAGCAGGAATTCCAAGACGGTCCAGAGTACGACAAAAGGGATCCAGAAGGTGGTCTCAGGCTAAGCACTAAGGTACAGTGAAGACTGAAAGGAGGAGGGGAGGGAAACTGCAACTACACAGAAAAGTGGGAGGAGTGTTTCTGAATGTAGGACTTTGTGAAGTTGGCATGTGGAAACCGTATTTCTAAAAAACTCAGATAATTAATTGTGGCCTGTACGTTTTCTGCCTTAGGTAACTGCTTTTAATGATTTTTTCTGATAAAGTCCTTAACAACTTCCTCATCATGTAGAGAAATAACTCTTCGATACACACAGGGGGCAAGCCAATGTCGTATTCAAGCAAAAGGGTATCTGTACATAGTGACTTTACTAGAGGTCGTGTCATGTTATGTGTAACCGTCCTCCTCACATTCCCCACAGGAGAGAATCCCACCCGACCCCACATCTCCATACCGACGTGCCTGATGTCCTGCCTGCACCCAATACCCTCCAGTCTCGAGAATCCACAAACCCACATCTCCTTCCTTCTTATAGACAACGATTAAAATCCACCTCTCCCCACTATGACAGGTGCTGGGACCAACGCATCGAACCCTGATAGATGAGGGGTGTTGACTGACACAAACCCTAGTGACGCCATTCCTACAAATAACTTGAAGTACCCCACTGGGTTTCCAGGATTGTAAATCTTTAAGAAACAAAGGTCTCCACAGTTCTCTCCTGCATGGTGGCATCTCATGTTCTTGTCAGTTAGCAGCAGAATGCTTAGTAACTACGCCAGCAGGGCCCCTGATACACAGGTTCCTGAGATATAATTTAAAACTAATTTGCTTTTTAATTACCCACTTTAAAAAGACATGTCCTCACTCTGCACAAGTTTCCATTGCCATGGTTTAGTTAAAAAACCCAAGCACTCCAGCAAAATGACTAGGATTCCAGCTGTTGTGTTATATTAATTCACAGTAATGACATAAAGTACAAACTATGCTATACCTCAGTTCACATCATCACATAAATACAGATGTGCAACAAGATTAGTAACAAATTACATCACTTCTTCAAGGTCAAGATCACCTGAGGGGAGGGAGATGGGATGAATCCAATCACTCTAGACTATGTACTACAATCACTAAAGGGTCTGGACATACAGATCCAAAGGCCTCCATTTGGTGAAAGGCCCATGGATGTCCATGGATGACACATGAAGGTCCGCACTGCGACCCACAAGCACCTATGGCCCTATGCATCCCCTCGGTTATATACTGGTTTGCTCTCATAAAGCTGAAATGGTAAAGACAGTACTTTTTGTGGTGACTGGAAGTTGTTGCAGAGTATTACGAAAACCAGAGGAGTAGTGGCAACCAACAGGTGAAAAGTGACTGAGCCCAGGAAGACTCACAAGACTGCATCTGGAATCCTGAAGAGATAAGGCACACCACAAATCTCTAGCCAAGAGGTCAGAAGTAGTGTGTTGTGTGCATTCTCAAACTTGTGGCTAGAACCCGCCCGTCCGGCAGTCTACAGAATAGGAGCCCATGAACTTGTGAGATCTGGCCTCAGTGCAGCGACTAGGATTACAGAAAGAAGTGCTTCATGGGCACCTAGGGTCAGAACCAAACAGAGGAGGGGGAAAGCGGGTACTTTGTACTTATGTTTTGTGTTTTACCAACACTTTCTAACATTCTTATAATACTGAATGGCCTTATCAATTACTGATGAAGCTACATGATGGTACTTGAGACTCCATTTTTCGTTAGCTCTCTATTTCTGCACTTCTGGTGAAACACTGTAGGATAAGCACTGGACTGTTCAAACACACGAGCCGACCCTCAGAAGTGTTCTACACGGTGGGTAAGAGTTAGAATTGTGTCATCAGTACTTAAGAACAACAACAATTTCTCCCTGTTTAAAACGTCCCATCATTCGACAATAAAAATATACCCAATATACAAGTCGGTATCATTATAGAGTATATTTATAGAGATGTGTTGTCACACAGCA